CCCAAAACTCTGGTTTCTTGTGACGGAAACCACAACAGATGATCAAGAATCATTTTTTCAATCTTACCTTTTTACCCCACTTTTTTTTTTTTAGCTAGACTTTTAACTGTGATTACAAAATATTAGAATTAACATTAATTTATGCAGCTCCCATCAAATTAACTTTCTTGCTTATTTTGATATGCATACTAAGAAATCCACAATCCAAATATTAGGAATTTATTAATACAAAAACAAATACATTTTCACATATTAGTCATAGTGAGAGAACATAGAGTATCACGCAAGTAGTGGAAACTTTTTTTCTTGGGATAAAAGAAGCATTGTTTCACAGATGAGAACTGACAACAGAATCACAATATTGAGGACAAAATATGCTCAAACAAAAGTAAGGCAAAGTAAAATTCATATTCGAAAGAGACCAATAAAAACTAAAGGAGATTAGCCTTCCAATTTTGCTCAAAATCCAACAAAAGCAGGTCAGTGAAAGAACAGTCAGCCCATGATATGGTGCTGAGTTCGTCTGTTCGAAAAGATCCTACACTATGGTAGTACATGGGTAAAGGGAAGGCTCCCACCAATGTGTAACTTGGGGTGGTTTATGGCTGAATTACCCAAATTCAGCAAGCCTAATGCTGAACATGTATCCAACAGGAGTCGTAGAAAAAGAAACAAAACATCACAACCACCATAAATACCCTGAAATGCCTTCTCAATCTAGTAATCAGTGATTTTGATATTTCCAAACAAGCTAAGATACAGAAACTTCATTTCTCCCTAAAGGCAGAGGCAAAAAACACCTGGTCCTTTAATATCTCCGGTGTCTCCATGTTGAAGATAGGTTAAACATATAAGAGATCTCAAGACCTAGTCAGACTGGTTGCCCACACGCATACCAGAAGCCATACAACATGGCCAATTACCGACGTAGGCAATTTCTCAATCACAACAGGTCAATCAACTGATGATTCCCCACAGATTGAATAGAACGTGAGGAAGCCTTCTACATCTCAAGGAGGACAACCCTTGCACATGACCTAATATCCTCTCCAGCTCTCCTATTAACTTTATGTAACCAAGAACCACATTCAGAAGGAAATAAACATTCTCAAAAATAAAACAGTAAATCTGTTGGTCATGTAAGGAGTAATTTGTTTATTTGATCATCATTTTATATAGTTGACACAGTAGTTTTCTTTCTATGACTTATCCAGTCAAAGTTCAAAGTGCACCAGCAAACACCTCTATAGTCAATGAGTGATCTGAGATATCCACGATTCTTGCTCGAAAGATATCCACCAGCCGCATGACCTGGAGATTACAACTAAACAAAATAAGGTCACCACCCACCAGACAACAGAATTCAATGAAAATGACTAGAAGTAACTGTAAACACTCATAAGAGAACTTTCCATGATTCTTGAAATCAATCGTTACGCATTCAACGTTACATTACAACATTTAATATTCAACATTCACAGAAAATTGCATAGCTACCTCAGCACGGTAGTTCGGATCTGCATTGATTTTTATTAGCATCAATTCACGTTCTACCTGCGGCTCCTTCGAGATATCTTCAACCTGGTCAGTGGGTTGGAATGAGAAGTTCAAAGATTAGTTATAACAAAAGAAATTATTGCAAAATGGAGAGGAGAACAAAGGCCAAGCCAGATCAGGATTGCAGACATGTCTCCAAAGAGAGACAGAAATCATTCCAGGTTTTGCTCCTCAGCATGCCAGCCACATTTCCAAATTTTAAGGCTACAGCATCTGGACATCCTTACTTTTTCTTTTAATCATAAGTAAGAATGTACAATATAGATGGAAAATTGTCCAGCTCATATCAAAGGTGACTCAGATGAAGATTTAAATTCAATAATGGTGTTTCAAAGGGAATATATTATAACCTTCAACACATTCAAAAGTTTTTGAAGCTGCTCCATAACTTGTACTAACACCCTTTCAGTTCCAGACACAACTATAGTAAACAGAGCCTTGTCTTTGTTCAGACCAACCGCAAGGGACTCAATGTTGTATCCCCTCCTTGCAAAGACTACTGCAATTCGATTTATCATTCCACTTTCATCACCAACAAAAACTGAAATTGTGTGCCGTCTCACCCTGGATTGCAGCAATCAGACAATGATGAATACAAAATGCTACATCAAAATATGCAAATCTAAACAGGCATCTTTAAGAACATAGGTTTTATCTCGGTGGCAAATTGCCAGCTGGTCAACCCAAGCTCTAATTCCCACTCCCCCATCGTTGTGAATAGGAAAAAAGGCATCCTTAAGAAGCCACGGTTTTATCCTGGTAGAAAATTGCCACCTGGACAACCCAAGCTCAATACCCACACCCCCATCATTGTTAATGAAAAAAAGCAGGTATCTATCAAAGGAGGGGTGCAAAAAGCATACTACGACACATTTTCCAGGTAAGTAAGACAAATATATTAGAGTGTTATAAATATATTAGAGTGTTATAATATATTTTAGAAGAAACAATTATAGTATTTTGTTTTGATTTATATTTTTTAAAGGAAAAATTGAATAATCTACACTAGTAAATAAAATATGTTTTGATATATAAAGGAGAAAATAGAGAAATCAATGCTAGAAGCTGGCTCGCATGAGTTCCAAAAAAACATTTAAGTACATAGCAAAGGCAACATGGAAGGAAAAGTAAACAGAATTATCGATAACAGAGTAATAGCCGGAAGTTAATGTCATGAGAAATCAATGGAAGATGATTGAAACAAAATTGGGGAATGTAACTGACTCGGTGGCACATGAATAGTCTGTACCTTTTGATGCCAAGAGTAATGCTGCAGGTTATCCTTGTCAAAACGAGTATCAAAGGAATCACTACTATCACCAATAGGTTGTGGTTGTTGCTCCTCCTTACTAATATCCCCCACTGAATAGGTAAATGAATAAAAATGTCTTTTGACATAACACCTCTTCATCTTTTTTTTTTTTTTTTCTTTTTTGAAATCTCTTCACTAGTTGTGGTATTCTCCCACTAAAGAGATGGCTAAGAAGTAGGAAAAAAAAGACTCCAATTCTTGAAAGGTAACATCTATGTTAATATGCATTGTTTGAGATGGTAAATGATTGCACTTATACCCTTTGTAAGGAAAAATGTAACACCTCCTGTGTAGGATCTTTCTATCTATAATATAAAACAGGACGACTTCAACAAACCCATCCTACGGCCTCAATTGCACTAATCCAACGGCCACAAAATCTACTCATAATTTGAAATTCCTCTCTCACCTGTCATTCATTACTCTATCTATTCCTCTTTTTTTTTTTCACTCTCACACATTTCTCTCTCTATCTCTCTCATCTGTTACCCAACTCACTCTCTCTCCAAATACACTCCAGTCTCCCCCTCTGTTTCTCTCTTCCGAGTCACCGACACCAAACACCACCACCCACAAACCTCTCGCCCCCTCCCTACTCCATGTTGGGAGAATACACTCCATCCCCAATCACCATCAACAACGTCACCCACCACCGTTTACCACAACCACAAACACAAACCCTTCCTCCTTTCTCTCTCTATTTGATCTCTTCTAGGATATTCTCTCTCTGATCTCAAATCTTGATGCCGCCAACCAGCCATCTGTGAGGACCCCAATGCTACACACCAACATAACCAATCAACCACCGGCGACCAAGTATCAACTCTTACACACACTAGCCTCTTTTCTTTTGTTGTGAGTATAATGGATTGTTGAATCTTTTGTTTTAATCTTTAATTTGAGGTTGTCCATCTAATGAGAGGCCATTGAAGCCGCAAAAAAAGCTCGAAGGCTGCATTAAGGTCATATTTTCAACTCCATTAAGGCTCCATTAATCATGTATGAACTTTTATTTGTGTCAAATGGGGCTTATAAACTAAATTATTTCTAAGACCACCGACCACCAACCAGCTCCACCACATGTTCGACAAAATTCCTCAAAGAGCTATGAAGCCTCAGATCAAGCAATTGATTTCAATTGCAATTAGGTTCAACTAAATGCAGTTTATTAGCTTAACATTTTTTGTTGAACCACTTCATTTGTTCATTTTTCTCTTATTTGTTTGTTCATTTTACCATCTATTTCCTGTATTAATTTTTCGGTGGCTAATTTTTTTTTTTTTTTGGTTTTACATTTATTTGTTCATTTGCAGCGTAGCATGAAAGAGGATGTGGCAAACTTAACTGCCCAACTGATTGGAGGCCAATCACAAGGTGGACATTCTTTGACAGCTTGGGTGGAGCTATATTTTGCTCTAGTTGAATTCTTAGGATTTGGTCAATTATTTGTTTAAAAAACTGAATTTTTGTTTCTTCTATTATTTTGGGAGTTGTAGGGGTAATTTTCTTCGTTATTTTGGTTATTTGTTTTTTTTCGTTGTAACATGATTGCTATTTTGTTAAATTCTCAAATTTTTTGTTTTTGAATTTTCTATTGAGCTTTTTTGCTCTTTTGTGTTGTCATTTGTTTGAGTTGTTAACAGGCCATAGATTGTATACAACAATATCAATGTAATTGTGTATGTTTTATTATTCATGGTCGCTTCATTTTTTGGCAGGTATTGTTCTTTGTTTTTACATCCTTTGTTTTTGCACACTCACCCTGTCTTTACACACACACTCACCCTATCTTTAGCCTTCAATTTTTCTTTAGCAATTTTTTGTTTTCTAACCTATTACATCTCTTTCTTTTAAATTTGCGCCACACATGCACATGCACATGCACATGCACACACACACACATACCGAGAACACTTATGTATGCCTAATTGTATCACGAGAACACTTACGATATCTGTATTTAGAAATGAAGGTGTGTGATAAATTGATGTTTTCAGATGTTAGTTTAGGTTGTCTCAAAAATTTGATGGAACCTTAATCATTTAAATGTTTTTATTGAAGCTACTTGTGTTCTATAGTTGGGTATTTCTTTCCTTTTTTGTTGATTAACATCTGCTTTAATGGGTATTTTAATTCAAAAATATGCTCCTTCAAGATGATTGAGAAGATTGAGCAAAAACATGAAAGTAAGATTAGGAGTCACATGCTCTAAGCAATTGTATTTTCCACCCACTTCGCATGTCTCAAATGTTCCCACTTTTAGAAGTATGAAGGATGATGACCAATGTATAACTTAAGAGACATATGATAAGAAAGATTAGGGGTGGGAATTAGCAGAGGGGTTAGCAAGATAATATTGTTGTTGTTCCTTAATCTTATGAGTGGTTGAATTAGACTTCATTTTGCTTTCTAAGGTTGAAGGTTTTGTGTAGTGGTCACCACTTGCAATGTATGTCGCTATGGTTTATAAGTGTTAAGAATAGTAGGGTAGTATGTGTAAATTGTTAATAGTAAGAGGATGTATATGTAATTTTTATTATTATAAGTTAACTATAAATACAAGTGATATATGAGAATTAGGTTAAATTTTTAACCTCTCTTTGTCCCTAATATATTATGTTAATCCTCCAAACTTAACATGGTATCAGAGCTTAAACGATTCTAAATATATGAACACTATTGTGTGATGTCTATTGATCGTGTGATTTCTGTTCGCCCACTTGCGTCATTTGTGGTGGCTGTGGTGTGTGATAGTGTGATCGCTTGTGGTGGTGGTGTGGCTTCTGTTCACCATCGAGTATGGTTGTGGTCCCAGTTGATGTGGTGGCGTGATAGCTTGTGGTGGTGGTGTGGCTTCCGTTCATCGTCAAGTAACATTCTCCGTGGTAGTGGTGTGGTTGTGGTGGCTGTGGTGGTCTTGCTATTGTCAATTTGTGGCGTGTGTTGTTGTCGCAAACCAGGGGGAGGCTTCTTGGAACCCTAAGTAACGAAGAAGAAGAAGAGCTCCAGACTCACTTGGGTTGGATTGGATCAGGTCAAGCCCAAGACTTAAATTGTTTTTAAGTCCAAACTCGGTTCAGCCCATGGTTCAACTTGGACCGGATCACGGGTCAGGCCAGTTCAGCGATTCAGCTTAGAGCGAATCACGGTTCAGGAGTCCAGAGAGCCTAACCGGTCCGGTTCAGAGGTCTAGAGTCTTGCTAGTCCGGTTCAATGGACCAGCCTGGTTTTCCAAACCAGTTTAGCAGTCCAGTCCACTTTTCAAGCCCGGTTCAGTGGTCCAGTCCACTTTTTAGCCTGGTTCAGTGATCCAGTCCATTTTTCCAACCCGATTCAGTGGTCCAGTCCACTTTTTCAGGCCGGTTCAGTATTCCAGCAGCCTTGTTTAGTCCGGTTTATCACTCCAGCAACCTTATTTGGTCCGGTTCAGGCCCCTAATCCATGGTTTCTCCTTTTTCTTTGCTTCTATCATTGCTATATAATTATGGAACCCAAGAATAAAAATGATGATAGTCAGATTGATCTTATTTCATCCACGTCCCCAAATTTTTCTCCTACGGTTCTACTTAATGGTCTCATGACATCTGTTAAACTCAATGGGACCAATTATGTTTTGTGGTCACGATCTGTTCAAGTGTTTCTTAGAGGTAAAAGCTTTAAGAAATATTTAGTGGACACTAGACCCAAGGAAGGTACTCCTGGGTATGATAAGTGGGAACAAGAAGATGCTCGGATTATTTCATTGCTATTGAATAGTATTAAGCCTAGTATCAGTTCTACGTTGCTTTATCTTGACACGGCCAAAGAGATCTGGGATCACTTGGCCACCATGTATTCTGGCACTGGGAATTTCACTCGTGCATATGAAGTATGCAAACAATATTTTCGTCTGGAGCAGGGTACTCTGAGTCTTGAGGATTATTACTCTCATATTTGGGGAATGCGTGAGGAGTTGAAGCTCTATCATCCCTTTACTACTGATGCAGCGGTTTAACAGAAGCAACATGAGGATTTGAATGTTGTTCGTTTTTAGTTGGTTTGAAACCTGAATACGAGTCTATTCGTTCTCAGATTTTGGGTGGCTCTACTCTTCTATCTTTACTAGAGGTCTTCTCCCGCCTGCAGCGTGCTACCTTCTCTACCGGTTCATCCAACACAGAGTCTGGTGTGCTTGCTTATCGTTCGGTTCTTATTGTCCTGAGTAGCCATAGGGACAGTTCCCGAGGTGGCCGTAGTAACCGTTGTGGTCGCGGTGGTCGGGAAGGCCGTACTCGAGGTCGGGGAGGGCGTTCAGGATCTCGTTCATGCTCTCACTGTGGTCGTGGAGGCCACACTGTTGATTATTAATGGGATTTACATGGCAAGCCTTCGGGTGTTACTAATCAGGTTTCTTATCAGGATGACACCCCAACTCCTGCCGCTGTATCTCGGTCCGCTCCTCCTGATTTTGTATCAGTTACTCTTACACGGGAGGAAGTATACCCAATTTCTATCCCAACAACAGGTTGTTCCGTCTCCCTCCATTGTTACTTTCGCCTAGTCAGGTACTGCTTCCACTTGTTTATTGTCCTCCACTCGAAGTCCTTGGATCATAGACTCTGGCGCCTCTGACCACATGACTGGTGTGTCTGATATTTTTTCTACTTATAAGTCTGCTACTTTCACATGTAGTGTTACTCTTGCTAATAGTATTTGTTCTAAAGTTTCAGGTTTGGGAACCACTCACTTGAGTCCTAACATGTCCCTATCTTCCGTGTTATTTGTTCCTCAATTTCCTTTTAGTTTACTTTCCATTAGCAAGATTACCCGTTCTCTCAATTGTTCTGTAATATTTTATCCCTCTTATTGTGTCTTTTAGAATCTTTGTACGGGGTATGAAGCTGGTAGCCTATATTACCTGGACTTTGATTCACCTACCCGACCTCTACAGACCTCGTTGTCTCCTTTTCAATGGCATTGTTGTCTTGGACATCCCTCTCTCCAGAATCTGAAACGCCAAGTTCCCAGTCTTAATTATTTGTCGTATATGTCTTGTGAAGCTTGTCAACTTAGCAAGCATCACCGTGTGTCATTTCCATCTAGAGTCAATTATCGTGTGTAGTCCATTTGAATTAGTCCATTCTGATGTATGAGGTCCAATAAAGAATATTTCATCTAATAAATATCCTTATTTTGTTAGATTTGTGAATGACTATTCTCGTGTGAGTTGGTTGTTTTTGATGAAAACTCGGTCTGAATTATTCTCTATATTTGAGATTTTTCGCAAGGAAATAAAAACTCAGTTTGGTTGTCGTATACGTCCTTTACGTTCCAATAATGCTCGGAAATATGCATCTGATCCTTTTTCAGCTTATCTTAGTAAAACTAGCATTATTCATCAGACTTCTTGTACTTACACCTCTCCACAAAATGGTGTTGTTGAACGCAAGAACTGTCATTTGTTAGAAGTCACCCGGGCCCTGTTATTCCAGATGAATATTCCTCAATATTATTGAAGTGATGTTGTTCTTACTGCTTGTCATCTTATTAATCGTATGTCATTTTCTGTGTTAAATGGGCAAAGTCCATATTCTGTCATTTTTTCTGATAAGCCCTTGTTTTCCTTGACTCCTAAGGTTTTTGGTTGTGTCTGTTATGTTCACAATTTGGGCCCAGGGTTTGATAAACTTGACCCTCGAACTACCAAATGTGTATTTCTTGGTTACTCCCACACGCAGAAGGGGTATCGTTGCTACAGTCCTTCTCTGCACCGATATTTTATTACTGTCGATGTCACGTTTGAAGAATTCGTTCCATACTTTCTAACACCTTCTCAGCCTTTGGATCTGGACTTTGGATCATCTCCTGTACCACCATCTCTTTCCTCATCGTCAGATATTCCGCTGCCCACTGTGTTACCAACTACTTTACCTCTCCGTGCCTACTCTCATCGTCCTTGCCCATCTACTGAGGTGCTCGTACCATCTTCCTTGTCGCCTTCTGATCCTGGTACATCAGGTAATTTAGACTCTTTACCTATTGCTTTTCGCAAAGGTACTCGTTCGTATATTACTAATCATCCTGTTTCTCATTTTGTTTCATATAATGCCTTGTCTCCTGTCTTCTCCTATTGTACTTCCCAATTATCTATTATATCTATTCCTAAGTATTTACAGGATGCATTATCTGATCCGAGTTGGAGGAAATCTATGGAGGAGAAGATGGATGCTTTACATCATAATGGGACTTGGGATCTCATTCATTTATCCTCTGGTAAACAAACTGTTGGCTGTCATTAGGTGTATACTGTTAAATTTCATCCAGATGGTTCTGTGGAGCGTCTCAAAGTCCGACTTATTGCAAAGGACTTTACTCAGACTTATGGTGTTGATTATGAGGAGCCTTTTTCTCCTGTTGTCAAAATTTCCTCTGTTCGCATCTTGATTTCTTTGGCTGCTAATCTTGATGGGCCCTTGTTTCAATTAGACGTCAAGAATGCCTTCCTACATAGTGATTTGGTTGAAGAGGTATACATGGAGCAGTCACCTGGGTTTACTGCTAAGGGGGAGTATGGGAATGTACGTCAGTTAAAGATATCTTTGTATGGTTGAAGCAGTCACCGATGGCATGGTTTGGTAAATTTTCAGATGCAATTTTAGAGTTTGGTCTTCTTCGATGTCAGACAGATCATTATGTGTTTCATAGACAGACAGATGTTCGATATGTCCTATTGATGGTCTATGCAAATGATATTGTGATTACTGGAAATGATCCTGATGGGATTGTCAAGTTAAAAATATTCTTACAAGATCGATTTCATACTAAGGATTTGGAAAAACTTAGGTATTTCTTAGGTATTGAGGTGACTCGATCTAAACAGGGTATTTGTTTATCCCAGATGAAATATGTCCTTAATATGCTTGAGGAAGCAGATTTGTTGGGTGGTAAACCGATTGATGTTCCTATGGATCCGAATCAGAAATTATTGATAGATGATGGTGCATTGTTTGAGAATTCGAGTCGGTATCGTAAATTGCTTAGGAAGCTTAATTATCTCACTATTACTCGACCGGATATTTCCTATGCAGTCAATATAGAAAGTCAGTTCATGGGATGCCTAGAGTACCACATTAGGAGGCAGTTACTCGTATTCTACGATATCTTAAACGAGCTCCTAGACTTGGACTGTTATATCGAGCTAGTGGACATCTTAAAGTGGAAGGTTTCTCAGATGCTAATTGAGTTGGTTCTCCTTCTGATCGGAGATCAACCACTGGTTATTGTACTTTCTTAGGAGATAATGTTGTCTCATGAAAAAGTAAGAAACAACCCGTGGTAGCAAAATCCAGTGTTGAGGCTGAGTATAGGGCAATGGCCCATACAACGAGTGAGTTGACTTAGCTACTACACTTTCTCCAGGAAATTGGGTTTCCAGTTCAACTTCCTTTACAGTTGTTCTATGATAACTAGGTAGCTATCCATATCGCTGTCAACTCTGTGTTTCATGAGAGAACCAAGCATATTGAGGTTGATTGTCACTTTATTCAGGACAAGATAGTAGCTGGGGAGATTACAACTCCATTTGTGAAATCTGAAGATCAGCTTGCAGATATGTTTACCAAAACATTAAGTCATACACGTCTTACAGTTATTTGTTCCAAACTTGAATTATATGATATATATAGTCCAGCTTGAGGGGAAGTGTTAAGAATAGTAGGGTAGTATATGTAAATTGTTAATAGTAAGAGGGTGTATGTGTAATTCTTATTATTGTAAGTTAACTATAAATACAAGTGATGTATGAGAGCTAGATTAAGTTTTTAACCACTCTCTTTGTCCCTAATATATTATGTTAATCCTCCAAACTTAACAATAAGTAGGGTGTTCTTCCTTAGGGGAGGTGTCACTATCTTTAATCGTCTAATTTTTTTGCTCATTATAGGTCTCTTATTACTTTTCCTTCTTTTTGTTTTTTCAAGATAAAGCATAATTTACCTCTTTTTTTGGCTTAGAATTGTGTATAAGTCAAACTTAGTTGATTCCTTAAGGAAGTTCAATATGATTAAATTGTTAGCATGAGGATTATTATGATGTATTTGCACCTGGTAAGCAGCTGTCTTTATGCTTAGCAGGTTTGCTGCTTGGAGGAGTTTTAGTTCAGTTTGGGGATGATGGAGATTGAAGGAGAGGAGCTGGCTGTGAAGCTTTGCTGTTGTTCTCGTTTTTGAAGTCCAATCTGGTTGCTGGTTGCTGGTTGCTGGTTGCCGGTTGCCGGTTGCAGGTTGCTGGTTGCTGGGACAGGGAAGTAAGGTCTGGTACCCTGGCAGCAATGAAGATGCTTTTAAGGTTTTTGGAAGGATTAAAGCCAAAAGCGTAAATTTGAGAATTTTATTCTTTGATTCTTGTAATTCTTTGATTCAACCTATAAAATTTGCCTTTCTTAAAAAAAAAAAAAAAGTCCCCAAAAAATATTTGAGGACTATATTAATTTCAATTTCTTTAATTAAAGCAAATTAAAGTAAATTTTTTTCAAATTAACCAGTTGGTTTACGTTGTACCGTGCCTTCAGGCACGAGTTACCCCTAGTTCGATTATATAAAGAAATTGCGCACAAGACCTAGAGGGAGTGAATACGTTAATTTCAATTCGGCTTGAACCAATGTTTTGAAAATCGCACCTAGGCGCTCGACTAAGCAAGAGGCGAGGCAAAGCGACTTCATGTTGCCTTGAATAGGCCAAGCGAAGCGAGTGTAGGAGAAGCGAGTTAAAAGTGAGAATAGGCGAAGACAACAAAGAAGCGATCGCCAAAGCGAACTTTTTATTTTCTGTCTTAAACTGTTACAGGCCATTGGATTGATGCAATTGGATCAAAAATTAGATATGTCAACAACAGCCGATTAAGCCTCATCCATATATATATGTAAAATAACCCTAATAACCAATTTGATTTGAGCAACCAATGGGAAGCCACCGACACTGCTCACAAGAAGGTACGTCCTCTTCCTCTTCTTCTGATTCTTCCCCTTCCTTCAACACTCACGAGGAAAGCTCACTGTAGCAATCTGCTCCTGGCCCTACATCAGACTCGGAAGCTCATAGTCAAAAGCCAAAGGTATGTCCTCTAATTCTTCTCCTATTCTACTTCTTCTGATTTTCTAATTCTTTTTCTCCTCCTTTTTTTCTACTACTTCCGCCCTACTTCTTCTGATTTTCTAAGGTTGTGTTTGGTAACACTATGTGTGTTTTTTTCTATTTTTGTTTTCAAGGTTTTTTAAATAAAAACATATTTGGAGTGTGTTTTCTTTTTTTTTTTTGGCCAACATGTTTTGTAAACAACACCAAATTTTGAAAACAGGGATTTTGGTGTTTTCAAAAACAGCCTAAACACCGAAACACGCGCCCCTTAAAACCGATTAATGAGGCTTTGGCCATCAAACCCTATTAGCAGCAAAAAAGGATTTTTTTTGTTCCAACTATAAAAGCTTGTTTTACCCTTTTTTTTTTTTGCCTCTTCTCTCTCGATCGTCTCTATATCTCTCACAACGCTAGCGACAAACACAGCGAAGGAGCCCTCAGTTCCAGAAGCCAACACTCTATCTCCAAGGTCAGATTTCACTTCATCTCTATTGATCTCCCTCTATAACTCCTCTATATGGAATCAAACGTACAAACCCTAGATCTATGTATATAACAATATATACATAAATCTGTATATATACATATATAGCCCTAGATTTACGTATATATTGTTATATTTTGTTAGATTTGTGTGTGAATGTGCACGTGTTTTTGTGTGTCCATCTATGTGTGTGTGTATAAACTTTGACCTTCAATTTGAGCTTCTCCATCTCTGGAACCACAACCATTGCTTCTCTTCTGGCCAACGGAATTTTTCAATTCTATCCACAAAATCTCAAAAAGGGTTTTACCCATGGCTCAAAAAGTAAACAAAACCATTGGCTATGACATATAATGAAACCCCGTAGCTTCTACAAGATGTCTCCTTCATTAGTATTTCTCTCTCCAGCAAGAATATTGGTAGAGCCTCTAATGTGCTTAATAGCAAAAATGTTAAAATGGGTGCTCGAATTTAGATTGCAATCTTATGAGAAATTCTTTGAAAAGTTCAGCCTAAATGGGCTGATATTGAGTACCTCCGATAGATTTCCAAGACATGTGTTATAAGAAATTTAGATCGTTTAGCTAATGTTGTTGATGCTGTTCTTGATAGTGTTTCAATTAGTACAACTCATAGAAAAACTTTAATCTGTCATCTTATTCTATTGCAAACTTGTAGTTAAGCTTGGATTATGCATTAAGTACGAGATGAATCAAATCCTAGTGGTGGCTGTAAGATCATATATGGATTAGTAGTATATAATAGGTATTATTTCTTTTCCCAGTAAGATAAATCTCATAATTGGCTTATTTGATGGACAGCATTTCATAGGGAAGAATCTTGATTAATGCAATTTTACAAATATTATTTCTTTGGGACAAAATGCAATTTTTTGCAAAAATCTGCCCTGTCATTTGGGGGCATGAATATGCAAGTCAATTCCCATGAAAGCCAGAGTAACACTTTACTAGTGCAGATGGCTCATTCAGAGTCAAGGTCACAAATGCTAAATGAAATTAATGGTAGTCATGTTTCGAGGATTCAGTCATCCATGGAGGGCAACCTATTATGTCTAATGGGTGTGCAAGTGGAGTTTTGGCACGAAATGGCAACAATGCCAGAGGGAATCCATACCATTAGAAAATGATTTCTATTTGCATACTAGACAAATTGATTTCTATTTATTCTATTTGCATACTAGACAAATTGATTTCTATTTATTAACAATGGGTTGATGTATTGATACTTTGAATGTTTAACAACTTCTATTATTTTAGGTTGATGTATTGTGTAGTGTTTTATGGGTTGATGGATGAATTGATTTAAATAATGTGGACATGTTTTAGCAGGAATAATATAAAGGTAAAATATATGACAAAAAATAAAATGGTTTCCAAATATGTTTTCTGTTTTAGTTTTTAGATTCCCTAAAACGAACATCGGCATCCAAACACATTTGTTGTTTTAATTTTTAACCAAAAAAAAAACTGTTTCAATTTTTTTTTTATAAACATAAAAACGAAAACTTTACCAAACTCAACCTAAAACTTCGTTTCTGTTTTTTTTTTACTATGTTTCTAATTTTCTGGAACTCTGTTCCTCTGATGTGATGCTGCTTCTACTGGAACCTCCTGCTCTTCTACTTCTTCCCCTCTTCTTCCGATTTTTTGGAACTATGTGTCTATTTTTTTTTTTCTGATTCTTTTCCTCTTTCTTTCCCTTTTCTTCTTCTAATTTCTAAAACTATGTTGTTGTGATGATGCTTCTGCCGGAACCTCCTCCTCCTCCTCCTCCTCTCCTTCTTCCCCTCTTCTTAATTTCTAGAACTCTGGTTTTTTTTTTTTGGCTGTGTTTCTGATTCTTCTGCTATGTTCTGCTTTTGCTGGTTTTCTGCTTTGTTCTGCAGTATTACGCACCTATGCAGTTATGCTGCTTTGTTCTGCTCATTTGCTCCTGCTTTGTTCTGGTGTGTTCAATCTGTTTCTTGGACTGCTGCTAAATGCAATTGGGTTAAGCCACTGACTGTTGTTCTGCTGTGTGCAAATGTTGTTTAATTGTAATGTAGTATAATCTGTTTCTTGCTTGTTTGATTATCAACTAAATATTTAGTATTGTGAAGTTAGAACTTAGATATTAGAAGTAATTAAATTAAAATATTTATTTTTTTTACTTGTCACTTCGCTTTGATGAAACGCTCACTCGCTTCTCGCCTGAGCCTCGTAAGACTTGTTTGCTTCGGTTTGCTTTACGCCTTAAATAACACTAACTTGAACAAACACCATGTTTAACCTAATTCTACCACAATTACAATATTCAAAGGTAATTTATTAACTAGCCCTTTGATTTAACATGAAAAACCTAAACTCATCATGTGAATTGATAATAAATTAGTCTACAATTTCACAAAGACGCAAATCTCATTCAAAGCCCCAATCACTAAAACCACTGTTTAATGACTTGGAAGATAAATAATCAATTCATCAAATCCATGCTGCGAATGTGTGTATTAATTGCAATTGCATAAGCAAATAAAGAAATAAGAAGACAAAAGCAATTGTGGACGCAAAAACTCTTCCCAAAAAAAACCATGAGAAACCACTCTAGGGTTCACCAAAGCCTAATCCACTATTCCAATGTCAAGTTATGAGTACTCGAGACTTATACATCAACCACTTCCCATGGCTAAATGCTCTTTTCCTCCAATAGGTCTCTCCGCCGAAAATCCCTCTTTGACGTTATGGGTAGCTTCAAAACAATAGTCCTCTTTCCAAATAGAAAAGTCTAGGTGTTTTCTCTCTCACAATGCTCGACATCTCAATCATAGAGCTAAGGTCGGCTAAGAAGGATATGAGTGACTTTCATAGGAATCACATCACATAATATGGTGTCACTGTATTTTTCACAAGAAAAAGAAACGAGACATAGTTGAGTTACCGGTATAGAAGTGTTATCAATCCAAGATACTTTGTATGGTTGAGGATGTGGTTCCACCGGAAGCTTAAGACGTTCAACTGTGGATGCCGACACAACATTCATACAACTTCCACCATCAATAATAAGCTTTTTAGCTTGATTTCCACAACAAATCAGCATCCGAAAAATAGAAGTGCGTCGCCAATATTCTTGCTCTACCTTAAGGGCAGCTAGAATGCATCTCACAATCGAAAGAAAAAAAGTATCCTCTTCGTCTTCCTCTAAATCATCAGCGATACCTAGCTCACCACACTTGAAACAAACATCCCTCTTGTCTCTGCTGTTTGATTTATTAGTCATTATACCTTTGCCTTTAGGATCAGCCACATTTGAGGAAAAAGTTTGTAATCCGCTTGATCGATTGAATTGTTGATTAGGTGTTGTCCTTGAGCCACAGTTTGCATCATTAGGCCTCTGTATTGCTGTCTCCCCGGCTTGAAACCCCACTTTTCTAGTAGGTGGGTATCTCAAGTACTTTTCCATGTCAAGCGCCACTTGGAATGCATGCTCCACACTATATAGGGGCTGTCGAAGTAATTCTCGCATAAATCAACCCATAGACCAGCTTTAAATCGAGCTAGTGTTTGGCGGGGACCTTCCAAAACTTGGCTTCGAGTCTTAAATTCATCAAACCTTTGTATATATTCTGCCACCGACATGCTGCCCTATTTCAAATTAACTAATTGCTCACATAATTTATCATGATAATTGGCAGGCATATATTTCTC